AAGTGGTAGGCCATGATTCGCGACTGCTTGCGGACAGAGCTGTGGGAAAGCGGGACATGAGGACTCAAGGCTTTGGATCTGGTCGCGAAGTAGCGCTCTCCACAAGGCATGCCATCGAGGTCGCGGGGCTTTGAGGCTGCGGACTTTCTCAGAAAGTAAAAAAGACAAAAGCCAGTGGCCGAACCAAAGCTTGGTTCCTTGGCTACGAGGGTCCCGTTCGTGCTGATCCACTTAGAAACGGGGAAGCTTTCCGGATGGATCGACGAGAGCAGACGAGGTCCAATGGACGACGCGCGTTCGGCCTTCGCTGTGTTAATTAACCCTACCCAATACCACCATGATCCGGGACCTTGGCGCGCCCAGATATTCGTGGGCAATCATGGGTGATCTCGGCTCGTCCAGGACGGAAGCAAAAGAAAATCGGTCTACTTGCTGTAGACGAGCACATGAACATGGAAGGCCCGCATGTGATGAAGCCCTTGGAGTTGGCCAGCAGCTCTGCGATGCGATGAGGACGAGGTTGACCACGGGAAGGAGAAGCACCAGGCCATGGTGGATGTTTCGACGAATTAGTCGGGATGCGACGCCGACTGGCTGTTGGGCCATGCCAGGCTCACATGCGTACAGGGATGGAGCATGGGATTCGTGACCAAAGCGTGAGCGAGATGTCGATCAACCCGGTCTCGATCGGCATAACTACAGCGACGGGTCCAGCCTTTCCAACGGGGCATGAGGGGCTCTGGCATCAACGCCGGTCAATTTGGTCGAGTGGGCTGGTTGGCGTGGAATTCCATGGGCAAATCGGCAGTGCTGAATGAATACATGTATGCTGCGAATGTTGGTGTGCCTGGGGACCGAGCAAGCCGGTGGGTTGGGGTGATTGATGGGACGGTTCAACCACGGTCAAAGGAAAGACGGCCGTATCCGTTGCTCGTTTGATACAGAGCGCGGAAATCTTAGGATGTCATAACGAGGTTTCGCATTTACTCTGTGCCTCCGACCAGGTACCCTGTCTATTCCGAACATGTCCTGGGTAGGAGCGACCAAACATCGACAGCGGGCGACGGAGAGAGAGAGAGGGTGTGAAGCAGGGGCTCCCGGGGGGCATGCATCCTGCATTCTGGCTAGCGTTAGCGCCGCACTAGAGATGGCGGCACCTCTTGCTGCGCTGAGTTGCAGTCAAAGAGGGGACATAGGCTCCTGTCGCGCCTTGGGATCCCATCTCTCTTTCTCGTCACGCCGACGGTGCTCCTCCAATAGGCCTTTGACACCGGCCTCAGATGCGCCTTCTCAGACCCCTCAATGCTTGAGGCATGGTCCCAGGGGACAAACATGGTGGGCAGGAAGGGATGAAAGGGATGACTCAAGGTACCATGTAGCTCCCATATCAGCCATGCGCCTTCCCTCGTAAGGCCGGCCTAACCACGCAGCCACCGTGAGATTCTCAGGGCAGGTTCCCTTTCCTGCCTCTCCCCACCTGCCCCCCCTGGTGACATTGGTAGTCCCGCGCTCTAGACCGCGGCGAAGGGGGAAAGCGGAGGAACTGGTAGGTGGGCGGATCTTACGCTGCTGACTACACGTGCTGTTCCCACCACTGTACTGTAGGCATTCCCGGGGAAATAACGCTGAATGGCTTACGATCAAGACGGTCGTCGTACCCACGAAACAGAAAGGCTCTGACATGCCCGATGACGGTAATCGGGATGCCAAGGACTGCATGTGTGCATCGTCTTCCGTCACCATTAGCTCAGCACAGGTGGAAACAACACATGTTGGGAGCTGTCAGTCAGCGAGAAACCAAGCCAGCACCACCATGACTTAATGTTTCCTGTGTCAGGACGCGCCATCCCGCCTCAGGGCTTCATAGCCATCAACCCCGCTGCATTCCTGTCTGACATCTCAGACATGGGCCGGAAGGTCAGGATAGTAGGTAGGATAGCAGCAACCTCAACTATGATCTTTAGATAAGGCAGGTCAGGCATCTTGAGTAGGTAGTGAGTTAGAGAACACGGCAGTCATCAGCGGTGCACCCTTCAGTTGCCGCTGTACGAGGGACGCCTTCAGAGCGCCACGCCACGGGCTGAACGCATGTACTGTATGTGGGTGGCTCTGCACCTCTCCAATCTCAGATCAGTGGCTTTCCACGCGAGCCAAATAACGGATGAGACCCCCAAGACCCTGAGACCCTTGTCTGATGCCGCAAGCACCGTCTGGAGCACTTTCCCCTGTGCCGTGAATTTCGCCGATGGCCGTTTTCTGCAATACCGAGTCACCGCCGGGGCCTGTTTGTCAGGCGGTCCGGTCCAGTGACCTGAGCAGGCACCAGAGGGATATTCAGAGGCCTGATCGACAGCCTCGGGTTTGTTAGGCCTCTTCTTTCCGGGACCATTCACGAGACGATTTGTTCCTGTCGTGATGTTCTGTGAGATTGTGATGCAGCAGGGGTGGTGGTGATGCCCCCCCTCCCCTTCCTGGACCTGTCCTGCCCTCTCACCGGTCTCGCGTCTTGTGTGGTTTGGCCCGTCACTGACAGCCATTTGGACGCATGGCAACCCAGAACAGGCCACCCATTGTCGGTCACTGCAGGGCTTCAGTGTCGTCTCGGTGGTTCCTGCCCAATCGCCGTCGGCCCAAGGCTCGTCGTCCGCGGCTTCTTCATGGACCATCAATGCCTGTCTGATCCATGACGCTTTCTTGCCGCGAGAGAAGGAAGGAGGAAGTACCAGATTAAAGTGCGAATGCCCCTACCTCGCGGAGCAATGGCAGGAGGAAGCAAAGATGGCAAGCAGGACTTTGATGCGACATGGCAGCTGCCTTACTGTGCGGCGGACTTACTCAATGCACTGTCTTCACTATGACTCTTCTTTCTCCCCATGCCGTTTCCTGTACGTTCGACACATTCTCTCTCGAAATTGCATCCGTCAGACTGACCCATGTCTCGGTAACGGAAATATGCTCGAGTCAAAAGCCATCCGAACCAAGCTCGCCAATCTCTGCTGACTTGACGCCCACACGCTGCGACCGTCTCCGAGCATCGTGTTCAGTACCTTGGCCATCTAATCTAGCCTTCAGCCTGTCGGCCTCAGCCGTTCGACCAAACAGCGCCCCTATCGCGACGGCCAAGCATCTGTCGAAGGCTCGACGGCGCATCGTGCAGGCTGCCACCCAGAGAAAAGAACGCCCCCCCCCCCATCAGGCATGCTGGCACACGTGCGATCACACATTGTAGAAGACAAGGTTTGCCGCACGCACCCCCTCGGTATCAGAGAAAGGCGACAGGTATGCCCAGCGAACAGAGTCCTGGTTTTGGCTAAGGCTAAGACAGGCAAAGGATTGACGGAGACTCGACACGTCCGCCAGCCTAGATTTCCCCGTCTGGCCATATCCTCTCCTCCGTCACATTCGGTCTCCACCTCACTTCGCGTTGGGCGTGTGCGCATCGCGAAAACCTCCGCTCCAGCAACTTAACCCCCTGGTAGCACATTCATCACCCTGACGCGACGGGACTGGACAATCTGCAAGAGTTCTTGGACAAGAGTTCCTCCAAGAACGGACGGCATCCACTCAGTCACCTGGCAGCAAAGGCGATAGAACAGCCTGTTATACCATACCTGTGAATGAGGATCTCACCCGCTCCCTCGTTCCACATACAGGGGTTCTGCGACTTGACGCGATCACCACCTCATTTGTGTACTCCCTTGTCTTGAAGGACACTAATCGGGAACATTGATGACAGCAGCAGCGGCGACATCAGTAGCGTGTCTGGTTGATGCACGGCGTTCCTCACACTCTCTCTGCCTTACGAAAAAAATAAAAAAAATAAAGAGACGTCTCCACGAGGCGGTGGCACCTATCGGAACCGCAATCTTCGGCAGCCGCCGGTTGTTCCATCCTCTCCAGCGTGCACCTTGTCCTCAGAACGAAGAGCAGAAACCATCATCTCTCCCTCCCGTCAGCGCGCCCACACTGCTTCACCTTCTCACAGTGAGTGCACCACTCGTCTTGCCCCCATTGAGCCAGGTCCCGATCCTCCCCACCAGACCTCAGACACCACACACCCAACCACCAGACTGGCCGCCAGCGAGAGCTGGTACCATACTCCGTCTGTATCCACCCCCGGCCCCTAACGCGAGCCAGATCAGGCACGCCATACCCAAACCGACGGCTTTCTAGGACCAAGACCCGCTGGCCTGGAGTTCCGCCCCTGCGAAGCCGCCACATCGCCCACCCGCCCAATACTCCACCGTCACGTCACGCAAGCTCTCTCGTTCGTTGCCATCCGCGTCCGCCGCCTGAACAACCCATACCCGCGCTCACGCCGCTCGTCTCGACAATCACCGGCACCGAACGGCCCACGCCTGCGTTATGCCCCTGCCGGATACTCGAGACCTTGAAGATAGCCTCCGCCACATCATACCCTCCCCAGCTTGAGCCTGATACCGTCGTGGGCATACCAGAACCCTATTGGGTACCTGGATCATTCAAGCTTCGAGGGGGCCCCGGCAAAGTGGATGTCCCACTAATCCTCTTCAACCTGTCAGCTACACCTACTGCATACTACGCCGGTTCCTGCTCCTGGTGCCCCCATCCCACACCCCCCTCTCCCTCCCCCCCCCCGACCCAAACAGACTTTCCTCGAGCATAACCCAGTACTCGGATGGTGCAGTCGAGCTAGAGCCAAAAGACCACCGAGCCAGCCAGCCCGCTTCTCGACCAGGTCCAGGTCCTGGTCCTTGTTTGACGCACCCAAGCAACAAGGCACCCCAAGCCGCCGCACACCATTCTTCTGCTGCCTCCTAGTCTCGCACTTCACACACCTCGCCAGTCGCCCACCCACCCTCTTTCTCTCTCTTCCCCCCAAAGAACACTTTCAAGCCAATACAAAACCTTGCGACAGCTCATCTCGCCCCCCCCATAGCGCCTTCGCTTTCCCCTTCTCCCCCCATCTCACTCGCCCTCACTTCTCCAACACCGCGCCCACTCTCCACATCAAATTTGCGTAGGAGGCTGCATCTCTCACCTTGACCTTCGCATTCTCCGGTCCCTAATCAACGCTTCACCACACTCCCGTTCAGAGAACTCGAGCGCCATCCTCCGCGGCTTGGCCTCACAATTTGCTCACGA